TACTAAATCATTTCGATATCTTTTTATTTATGGGATAAGAATCACTAATTTCAACAATTTGTCGATTTTATCTGCAGAACTCACATAAACTTATGGACAATATATTTTACGATAACTCCAAAGACTAAGGATTGATACACAAACCGATGTGATTAAACTAATTGTTCTACTTGTACTAGTTCGGTCAGTCTATATAAGCTGGATATATATTTTTTTCAGCACAATTAAAAGGGCAGTGTGTTGTGTTATTTTAAAATAAAATTTTTAAAAAAAGTAACGTAAATGTAAAAATTTATTTCAATATTTATTGGTAATTCTTATTATTAACAACTTCAAAAATTATTTTGTAAGAGGAAAGAAATTAATTTTTACTTAATGCCTGCAGAATATAAACTGCACATTACCGAAAGGCAGAGAGAAGAAATTATCCTTCATAAATAAATCCTCTTCTGTGTGTGCAAATAAAACCACTTAATTTTCAATAAATCAAGTTGTTTGCTACAACTTTATTGTGGTTATTGCTCAAGTATCAGACATTAAAATTACTTGATTGAAAATTAATAGGCCGTAAAGATGAATATCGCGTAATAAGCACGATTTGTAGTAGCGAAACGGTATAGATTAATGGCTCGAACTGCTTTATAAATATTATTTAAAGAGATATTTTCAGATAAAAGAAAATGTGAAGAAATAAAAAATTAAAATTTAAAAAAAAAAAATTAAAGATTGAGTTTATGTTGAAATAATTTCGAAGAATTCAAAATTCTATAAATAAAATTAAATTTGAGCTTCAGGATCTTAATCTGATATTTGGTCTTAGTATTAAAATTTGATATATATACTGACTTTGTTTTTGAGTTTATTAATAATTATGTCGTGTGTTGAGAAATTCAGTGTTTATTATCTAAGATGAAACTGAGATAACGAGAATATGTTTACAAGATACTAGTAATTCGATAAAAAAATCTTGTAGCGCATGTACGAGCTAATTGGTTAACAGTCGTTAACCCTTGTTTTGTGTTGGTCCAAATGTTGCATATATTCTTTACACCTATATTACAGTAAAATATATCAAATTGAAATATCAGTTTATGTCATGCTTAATACAAATAATTGGTTTAAATTTATATAAATTTGGTGCAGATATTATTAGGTATAATTATTGTCACTTTCAGATTTTTAATATATGCATATCCACGTTTTTTATCTGGTTTATTTGTTATAGTATTGTATAAAGATGTAACAAACCTCTGGAAAATAAGTCAGTTACTTCGCACAAAATTTTATTTTCGATCGTTTCTGCATGTGCCTATTACCCAAAGAAGGGTCTAGTAATTAAAAGTTGTAGTTATCTTCAATTTCGTTCATCTTCTGACTTTGAAATAATTAAAACCGGAAAAATAATCCATATGCATTTTACTTGGTACTTGGTCGAAAAAGGTGTTTGCTTTTATTAAATTATAATAAGACAACTTTTTGAGAGAATGCTTCAGATTTCTGTTATGTTGTGCGTCTACTTAGCAAAATTGTACAATAACTTTTATGTCCGATATATAAAACTGAAATTGCGAATTCATTGAAAGCAAATATTGAACTATATAGGAGAACTTTAGAATAAAATGACGTCACGGCTAGTTACAGTTCCAAATACAAGCTCGTTCTAAGCTCGTTTTTTATAAGCAACTAACCTGGTAATCAATCGTGAAGTTGTAAAATGTTTGAAGTGATATTTTCCTATGTTTCTACATATTATGAATAGAAGTAAGATTTTTATACATCCGCGACTTTCAGCATCGTCAAAGTGGAGTACACTTATAATATTATGAAAACGTTCTTCAGACATAAATGATTTTCAATATACAATAAATAATTGAAATGAATGGTTAAGTAAATAAATATATTCCTTATTTTTGAATAAAGAATATGTTAGTCAAAACTTTAAGTCGGTAATACAATATGAATATGGCATGTTCATATCTCTCAAAATCTAGTTGCCTACAATACACAAGTTCAGTTAAATTTTTTGTATAAAACATACACAACATAATGAACCAAAATCTTCCGTTAAATAAGATTCATATATTTTTTTAGCACATGTGGGTTAAATTTTCTAATTGTATCCTCATACACTTCCATGATTAAATATTGTTTTGTAATACACTTAACTGGAGGTGGTTCTTCTTCTCAACACAACCACATAAATTAAATTAAGCTAAAGTCAAAGAGAGATTAATTAAAATCCCGCGTTAATCGATTACTAAATATATTCCTTAACGTCTCCTGCACATTGACAATTTTTATGTAAACATTTTTCTGAAGCATACATTAACCTCAAGTTGAGTCCAACATTTTAATCAATTTTGCACTTATTAACATGCAATGAAATTTGAACTGAATGAACTTTTGTTAATATTAGCTTCAAATCCAATCACCAAGAAATTCAATTAATAACAAAATATACAAAAATGATCTGAGTACACTTTAATTTGTAAGCGAACCCTAAGCAAAACTAAACATTAATGAAGTCTGCGCTGTAATGAATTCAATTTAATTCGGATAAATAAACACAGCCTTATTAGCACACTTTATATGCTAATGTTTATCCTTACACACACACATGCAAGCGTTAAATGTACACTTCCACTGTAGGGATATGCACACATATCCACACGCAAATATTATTCAAGAAGTGTGTGCCATATATACGTCTATGAATAAACATAGGAGAGCAAGCCAGCACGGCTTCATAGTTCGGTCTGAACGAAATTCTAATTAGTAGCTACTGTTTCATAAATGCCAAATTGTATGAAATCCTTTTTAAATATTAAACGAATCATTTAAGCAATTTAGTTGCTGCATGCAACTATGCTCTCCTATGCGATATGTGTGGGCATGAGCCTGCTTAAGGATCAACGTCCCGCTCGTTTGCCGTACGTGTGTAGTGTCCGGCATAATCTTTGCGTCTTAGTTTTCGTACGTGTGCCTGAATGAGAAGCTTCCAAATGAAATTTGTACATTATTTTTGGCCCACTTTCCTCTGCTTTAGCAAATTGTTCCATTTTGTTTTTATTTGCGATTAAGTCCTTGCATATTTATGTCACAGAAACAATTTTGTACGAGTTAATGAGTTGTAATTGCAACTGGTGAGTTTTTGTGCCATATTTTTAGTTTCAGGGTACGATAAGTGTTCCGGAGTATAAGAGAACACTAACTTTATGCCAGAACCGTTTTAATGATAATGTCAAAAATTTAGTTTTAACACCTAAAATCCTCTGAAGCACACATTAAAATTTTAATATTCCTTTAATAAATTTAAGCGCAAGTTTAAAACGTATTTGCCGCAATGCATATATTTTTATGACGTTAATGGCTATATTCTTTGTACTTAAGACAATTTATTAAAAGAATTATACATACTATGGTTCAGAAAGCAATTTTATTAACAATTATAAGACTATGTTAGATATGGTTAAATGGACTTATCTGCAAGACAATACACCTGATACCAAAATTTTTATCTATGATCGTCTGCGATAACTTTCTATTTGTTGATAATAGATTATGGACAATTTTCATGTATCCCAGTGTATCAAATAAGGTAATTTATGATATGAAGAAAACGACAGTTACAATGCACAAAGTATTTCCTATGCCAGCTTCATAGTAGAAGTTTGCATATCAGATCACTAAATTATTCATCAGCAATTTTTATGAGACCTGTTATATCAATTAACCCCCTTTTATATAGTTCAAAGTTTTTATGACAACCTCTTTAAACACTTATCAAATATTTTTAACCCAACAAGAACCAAATAATTTCAAACTTAAAATTTTATGGTGAAATTTCTAAAGGAAATAGTAAAATAAAACAAGTTTAAGTAAATGAGAAAAGCTTAATATTTATGTGAAAGATTACTGTCACTTTCTTTTTATCTAAATAATATAAAATATTCTTTGAATATAAAAAATATTCAGAACTATCCGTTTGGTGTACAACACGGTGGTCCGAAATGGGTTAAAAAAAAGATGGATAAAAGTCTGTGTATTCTCACTTAGTTCTTGGCGAGGTTTGGTTCTAAAAGTTCAGGTAGAACATTTTAATTAATGCGATAAAATGAAAAATATCACTTGTACCGATGAATATGGCTTACTGGGAATCAAGCAAGAAGACCTTTACATTATGATGAGAAAACTTCTGTTTCTCAATCAACATTGGAGCCTAGAAACTGAAGTGATTAGAATTAAGGTTATGATAATTGACAGACTAGGTAGTAACCAAGCAAATGTGGAAACAATTATAAGTCCCATTGAGTTTCACAAATTCAATAGTCAAAGTCTAAACATGCGCTTAGAGAATCAACGTCTCTTAATACTAAGAACTTAATATGAACGTCTTATGAAAATTATTTTTGATATGCATATGACCTATTATGCACAATGTCGCGAGTTATTTCCAAATTTCAAAACAACTATTCTTAAGGGATATGAGCAAAGTAGCTGACATAACGAAATTGGTATCTAGATTCAAGCAAAATTTTTTTTATTTTTTTTTACAAATAATTAAATGAGTATTGATATTATTTGCGTCAGGTTAACATACAATTTCTAGTATCGTCTACGTATCAACTTATATGAATTAACAATTCCAAAGGATTGTCCGCTCAAATGTAGCTGCCAAAAAACATTTAGCATTTCTCATGGTAATTAAGGAAATGAGTTGCCTTTCCAAACTACAAAAATTTGTAAGAAATTTTTCCAATCACTAAAAAAAACTTCCCAATTGAAGATTCTAGTTGCCATAATCTTAAGGTTCTACTGCCATTTTCCACATTATTATTTAAACAAAGTCATCTTAAAAGATTTCGAAATAGTTTATTAATAGTTATAATTACTTGTTAAAAAAATTATTTTTAACCCAGCAGCCCATTTTGGTTCAAAAAATTAAATGAATCGAAAACAAAATTTTCAAAATCATTTTTTTTTTTTGAGTTCATGGTTTTCGTAATTTGGGTGATATAAATTATAAAGTAACATTTTATTTTTCAAAAAGAATTCTTCAATAAATATAAGATTCTTTAAGTTCAGCATTTTTGGGTGCCTTGCGATTGCAAACTAATAGTGTTGTAACAGCTTTATAGTTAATTCACTAAATTTGGATTTATTTTCGTTTGAAGGAGAATGTACTATGAATCGGGAGAATCTAGCTCAGATGATGCTTCGGAAAATGACCTATCAAGTTTAAATAGCAAATCCAGCATCCTGGAACGTATAAGGAATGACCACAAGTATAACAAGGATTCATGTGAGCGAGCTCTAGCCTGTTTGGGACGCTTACCAACTGCAGAAAATAAGGAAACAATACGCCGCATTGCAAAACTAGAGGGAGTACGTAAATTTCTGATTCTCGAAATTAACTCAATATATTTCCCTTACTGAATTGTCGAAAATTTTTTTTTATTTATGTCATTTTATGTATTACCATTTTTATTTTTTTCAAATTACTTACTTTATTACTTACAGCTACGTCCGCAGCAGGTAAGGGAAACGCTTATGCCCTTCCCTTATTTCAAAAGGCCAAATAAGTTAAGAAAAAAATTAAAGAAAAGAAATCGAAAGGGCGCTAACGGAAAAAAGAAGAAAAAAAAAGTCAGAAAGCTGCTGGGTAATACAGAGAAACGTCGTCGAAATCTTCGGCGATAGAATACACAGACGTATCTAATTGATATTGTCAGTGGCTGTGGACTCGGAAAATAAAACATTGACCTATTTTATACCTTCAGTCACTGACGACGAAAAAGCAGCCACAATTACCGATTTATCTATGTTATAAGAGTGAGTACAAATATTTATAGTTATTTACTTCCATTATCTGGAAGACTAGACCCTAATAGTCGGTCATCTTCCATACAACCACATATAGTATTAAAACTTCTGTAGTAATTGCTTATATCCAATAATATAGAATCTTGATACATTAATGCTGAGAAGCGTTTGCAGCAATACATTAATAAGAAAGAAACATCACATTTCATGACAAGCTTTATCATTTGTTAGATTGGAAATTGGATGTGACATTACAAGACATGGCATCAGGCAAGGAAAGACTCAATATTAGTCATTATGCGACCTAGTTACGCGGTCTCTTAAATGTTATATCATTGAATATATACAATATATACATTTTTGGTACTTTCAACAAAATGAAATAAACTATAGCACTTCTAGGGAATAAATTGTAATAGTTTTAAAAATTCGTCAAAAACGTTCGATTTAGTCAGTTCTTTCTAACACGATGCAGGGACTGCAGATATTAATGATTTTTTTTTTGTGATTTTGTATTCTACTTCTTTATCCAAGAGGCAATTTTTGCTTATTATTAGAATTGGAAACAAATATTTTTTTCAATTCAGCCTAATAGATTCAGCCTAATGCATAGAAATATATTTGTTATTGTAAGATATATAATCTATAAAAGATTTAATATGTTACTAAGAACAGCTTCGATTTTAAAACTGACAGCAAACTAAAGCTGTCAAATATCACACATGATAATTATATGTACAAATAATACATGTATGTATACACATTATATATATACGTATATATATTAAGCAATATATTGGACTTTACCTCAGTAAATCGAACAGAGTAAGTTAATATTACGTGCGCTTTTTGTAATATGACTATTTATACAGTCAAGCTGTCTTGGATAATCTAAAGCAGGTATAGGTTTTAGGATGTTATATTATTTCCAAGTTATTAAATTATGCCTTATATTTATATATATATTTTTTTTTTGAAATTAATATATTTATATCTAGGTAAACCTGGTATTAGTATTTGACATCACTTGCTCTTTTAATGGCACTACCGCAAGTAAATCGTCTAAAGACAAAACAGAGCGAAGGTGAAGCGGTAAACTTGGGTATTTTATTAAAAATATTAAATTTTTATTAAGTCATATTTAATTCAGCATTTTTTTTACTATAGCGACCAGCTGTGAACCCTTAATTTAGACTGATATTGTGATATTTGAATAAAGTGAAATATCATAAGTCATTCGTATTGCTTAGAAAACTTGGCACCAAATATCATCTTTTAGTGACTTTCAATCGATGGTTAGTTCATTGATGTGTGTTTATGCGTAAGTAAATCTGAAATAATGTTCGTGAATTCCAAATTCCAATTATGAGTTGTATAAAAGGATATTTTTTTTTCTAGGACATATTTGAAGTTATGTGAATCGCAGAAGTTGGATCAGGACACAACCCTGAATACTATGAAAATTGAAATTCGTTACAAGGTGCTGATGGCATTCTTGACTTGGAATATATATTTATCATTTATATTCTCAAGACAACATAGTTTTATTGAAGTTATTGTATAAAATCCTTAGTTGTAAGACAAAATTTTATTATCATGATTGTATACAAAATTTTTCTTGTAAAAGATAAAAATCAATTAGTTTTATAATAGGCATATTCCGCTTTACAATATGCAGCAAAGTTAATAAATGTTATTATATTTTTTTAAATATAATTTTTTATTAATTTAAAGCGCAAAAAGTATGAAATTTAAAAGTGAATAGGTTTATTTTTAGTTTATATCAATGGTAAATTGATATAAACTATCAATTGCCTTCCTCTCTACAACATTTATACATCTGATATTCCAATGTTAGGTCGGCTCTGGCGTTATATGCTGACGATACGTGCATGCTATACTCAGATAAATGTGCTCTCAACAGAACCAACACACTTCAAGAGCATATAAACCTCATTCTGGAGTATTTTCAGAAATGGAAAATAAAAATCAATCATGAAAAAACTAATCTGTTTATAAAGCGTAAGTGGAGACTGACTCCGTCGAGAGTGAGAGTGGGCGATATGGTAATAAACTGGGATGATAGCGTTAAATATCTCGGTATCACGCTCGACAAACGATTCACATAGCTTAAACATGTTCAACTGAAAAGAACTAGTTGTGCCAAAATTCTTCATCACCTCCAACCGCTATTCAGAAATGAAAATCTGAATGCTAAGAACAGGAAGCTGATATATAACCAAATAATTCGTCCATCACTTCTACATGGTTGGGTAGCGTTTAGCAAAGCTTCAAATACTACTATTCGCCAGCTAGAAATTGCACAAAGTCAGGCTCTGAGAAGACTTTTCAAAGTACCATGATGCATTAGAACGAATGACATCCTCAGGGACCTGAAGAGTGATCCCATTAAAAACATATAAAGGATAGAGCCTTGAAATTATTTGCGAAATCTGACAGACTAACCAAAACCGCGTTATCAAATCACAGAATGGTTACAGGCTCCTCGGGGAGGTATGCAAGTCTGAGCTCAACTATTGCATACTCTGATGAAGTGATAAACAATAACCCAGTCAAGGCGTAAATAGGGATTTTGAAAATATCTTTAGTTAAGAAAGAGTAAAAGTGCTCAAGTGCATTGGCTCAAAGAGCTTCAACAGAATAATAAATTTGAATTATATATTAAGACCGTAGGAGAAACTACATATGTAGACTGCCTACATATTTTATCCAATTGTTCTTGAAAGGTTATTAATTGTTCGTTTAATTAACATTAAACGTTAATTTTATTTACAACAAATGCGAAGTCTTAGTGAATTAAGAATTACACGAAATAAAAATAAAGTCTTTAACAAAAAAACACCAATAGCTCTAGCATATCACTTGAATTTAAGTAACTCTAAGAACTTGCCTTTATTGAACTTCATCTATTTGAAGCATAACTGCACAAAGATACCTGCAATTGTATTATAGCACATAAACCTTCCAAATTATAACATAAAAGTTTCTATGCTCCATTCTGTGTGGACACCGAAACAATTAATACTCCCGGTCACTATAAGCCTTTGTGATTTTTATTGCTATTTTATTGCCAACCTAACATAAATTTTACACTACACTACCTCCCAGTTATACAATTTTTATGAAAGGAAAAATATTTGCTTTTAAGCTGACATAAAATCACGTGGGCTTGTGTTAAGTACTGAAGCGGAGGTAGTAAAAAGTATAGCAAATATGGGGGAAAAAGTGGAGTAAAAATTGAATGAAGCAAAAATCAATGCTAAAGCTATTTGTATTAGTCGATTGTGCTAAGCTAATATGAGAAAAGTTCGAAAATAAGTATCCTTGGCAACTTGCAATCGACCAAAGCACCTCAGAACGCAATTCAGAAGATAGCAAAATAATTTGTATCTTAACAGTACACAAATCCCAGCTGATAAGGGAAAAGCTGTACAGAAACACATTAACAGCTACAAGATTTTTAAAACGTAAACAATTTCAGTGAAATAATACGGACAAAAGGACTAACAGAAAAAACTGAAAAGTAGTAGAAAAATAAATAAAATATAAAGGATGCCAGACTCAAATGTAGCAGAAACTCAAATACATTAAAAATTTCGAAAATGTTGGTAAAACTCTCAATCACTTGCCCGCACACCCAATACCCAAAACCCACCCGTGTGTGTGCATGTTTTTGTCGAGCGGTATATCCTCATGTGGTACGACAAATCTCCAAAGTCAATACGTGTTTGTATTTATGTAATTTTTATTATAAAAGTTTTGGGTCGAGCGCTCCAAGTGTGTGCGCTCCTTGAGAAGGGCGGTAGGAAATAAAAAATCACGTAAATTAAAATTAAATTTATGAGCATGGGCTGCCATAGATTTAGGCAGACGTTTTGTGGCTTTTTTACTTATATTAGCACAAATAACACATATAACATAAATATCACATAATTAAGCAGTCCGTCTGATAGATAAACAAAATAGTTTTAAATTTCGAGTGCGATTGGCGTTAAGCCTACGACTAAGGCGATTTGTGCTTTTGCCTATATGTGGTCTAGTCTGGTTCTAGTCCTATTGCAGTATTGCAGCAATTGTTATTGAATTAAACTAACAAACTGGCAATTTACAGTTTATTTGGCGTTTCGTTCTGTAGTAGTTTTGCTTAAATTTCTGTTCATATACACGCACTTCCAAACACTTAAACAAAGTCGCCTCCGTTGGCTGGCGTCCTTTTGGGAATCCAGAAACTTTATAAAAGCCAAACCGTTGACATTCTTGTGGTTTATATCTCTTTTGGCACAATTAACTTTCTCTGCCTTAACGCCAGTCCGAAACAGCTTCTGCAATGCGTTGCTGCATAAAAAGTTGAAAACTTTATTAGTGAAAATATTTGTTGAGGCTTTATATTTGTGAACTTCTGCCACAATTTAGAGGTTTCAGAAGTTTTCGCAGAAGTTGAAGTTAAAAAGACTTGTGAGTATTGAAAATGTTAAAAAAATATTGAAAACTTTATTAAATATCATTATAAACAATAACTGAAAACGGAAGACTACTCACATTTTTTTAAACAATTTTTGTCCTTAAATTAATGCCACATACATAGTTGTGGAAGTCCTTTGTAACTTTTTTTATGATTAATTTGTTCCACTTCTTCGGTTCACTGGCAAATTGGAAAACTTTGAACCTTTATTCTCCGCCCAAATCGTTTCCAAATAAAATCGTAAAATATAATTTGTGAGAATTGCTGTCAATAATCTGCTGATTGGCGTTGTTCTGTTTATTTAATTATTTTTTATGCGCCGCTTCCTGCTTTCTGCGTAGCCATATTAAAAAACAAAGCAGCAAAGGGAATCGCAACGGAAATGGGAAATACAAAAGATGATATTAACAAGTTAAATAGAACATCTATAATCTCAGACACGTTTTCCGTATTAGCATATTTAATTCTTTTGGATATTGAAAGTTTGTCGCAAGTTAAGCCAAGTTAATATTTTCATAGTAAGGAAACACCAGCGAAGGCAATCATGGAAATTGTGTAAAAGAAATAAAAGAATTTACATTTCTTCTGCGTTTTTGTGCGATTGGAATTAGTAAGTCCCTCGTTTTGAGTATTCGGACATTATAAGTTTAAGTAAATAATTTATATTTGCTTGAAGCAACTTAAGTGTTGTCCAACCCTCCTTAAGTTGATAAAATTTGTTTATTTGCTATTATTAAACAGTAAACTTTCCTCGAACGAGTTGAAGAAGAAAAAATGTGTAATCATAAATTACAAATAAGTATATATGAACTTCATATTATGAACATAGATAAGATGTCCGTGTTGAGTAGTTATAAGGATACTGAAGACAATTTAAACCACATACTAATATAATTTTCAACAACACAAGTCGACTTAATGATTCTGCCTGCTTATCAGCAAGCTAGTCTCTCAACTTCAGTCCTGAAGGTATAAAACACTTACGACCACGTTATACAGACAGTCATGGTCACAACATATGTAAAATTTTTGTAGTTTTTAATAAGATTTGGTCACGTTGACGAGATTTTCTGTCTATCCTGACGTCAGTTAAAACAGTGTTGCACAGTTATTAATATTAGGATATGACATTTTTAGAATGAAATATGCATAACGTTACAAATGAAATAAATTTCTTAATGAATGTATAACCTAAAGGTAAAAAAGTACATATCTTTGCAAAAATAATAAATTTTTTTAAGGAAAGTCTAGAAGTACAAAAAATTATAGATATATACAAAATTCACAAATGCTACACGACTCTCTGTATAACATAGCTTTTATTCACAACCATAAAGAAAACTTGAACTTCAGGTATTTGTCAAATCGACAAAATTAGCAGTGTACAAGGTGGATTGATAAGTACTTAACTTCATAACAGGTGGCAATGTCAGAACAAAATCAATTATATTTTGTATATTTGACAAATTTTAAACGTCAGTTGTAAAAGTTTCGATTTCATCAGATGTTTGATTAGCCTTTTGCAAATAATTGAAATATTGCACTTTAGTGATTTTTTATAAAATGAAAAAAATTTGAATATCGTTCAGTAAAAAAATTACTCTATACATATTTAAGACGTGTCTCGTAGTTTTTCTTCTCAGCCTTGTAAAATTGTTGAAGGGGGACATCAGATGTGTAACTAGCGGGCTTTGGTGCATATAATCCTATATGCGATGAAAGTAATTCTTTATAATACGAGATATTTCTTCCTTGATTGTGGGAACATGTAGTTTATGTAGCTGTTTATTCTTTACATACATATAATTGCCAGGTTTGAGACTGCTGCAGTACCCCATAATTGGACTCCATAACTCCATATAGGTTTTAGTATAGTTTTGTATATTACCTTATTATCAAGTGAAGTTTATTATCGCGTGAACTTAGTTTACTATCCAGATGTATATCCAATGTGCCAATTACACTATCACCGGAAAGGAGAAGGTCCGCTGTATATAAAAGATAAAGCATTGTGGTATTACTGCCTCTATATAATGAAAATCTGTAGTTTCATTACTATGCTTAATGTAAAAGTGCCTTGCCGAGAGATATGATATAATAAATATGAATAAAATTAGTGGTAGATTCAGTTTTAGTTTGAAAAGACGGCCTCCATTTGAGCAAATGCTATCGCACTATGAATATGTAT